CTGTTCGTTCAGTGGCTATGCTAATTAGCGAGGCCCCAGGGACAGTAGATCTCTAGGTGCCAAAGACACACCTGGGGAATGAATCTGGATGCCTGCAGACCAGCCAGAGTAACGATGGCTGGCTTGGGATGCAAGGATAGGTCGCTGGGCCACGGGACCCACTCGAGCTTGGAAGAGACCAGGGAGGGATATAAAATGCCATGTGGCAGACTCCATCTTGTCTTGAGTTCAGCTCCTGATCCCAGATGCAGCCTTGGAGGGAACAATGAGCCGGGAAGAACCGTGGACCCAGACTGACATAGGATGTAACCAGAGACTTTTCAGATAGCAGTTGTAGCATCTCTGCTAAGAGCCTGCATTGAGAACTGGGGGATTCACTGCATGTAATGTATTCTCCTTAACAACCTCACTCTCGTGCTTTTCTTTCTTTTATTAATAAAGCTTTCGATTTTAGATTCTAAAGGATTGGCTCAGCGTGGTCTTGTGGGTAAGATCCAGAGTGTAAATTGACTGGGACCCGTGGCTGGTTTCTTGGGACTGGAAGAACCTGTTCAGGGTAGGTGAGATTGGGTTCTAAAACCCCTCACCTGTGTTAGGCCCGGGGCTGATTGGGGCACAGGGAGAGGTGGGGTATCTGAGGGGTTTTGCTCATGAGGCTTCCTGCTGGCTGGATTGGCAGCTGAAGCACTCGGTGTGACTGGTTTGTGGCCTGTTTGGGAAGGTCTCCGGTCTGGGGCTGTAAGGAGCCCTGAGTCTGAGCAATTTGCCCTGAGCGGCCGCCCTCAGTTGTGCCCAGAGCCAGCCAGGTCTATCACAAGCTCTGATTTACCCCTAAATGTCTTTGAAGAGCCCAGCAAGAGGTGGAAGTGTTGGTAATGCTGGTAGGCAATGTTCACCTCCTGCACAGAAGGCGGAGGGTGTTCCTTAATGTCCAGAGGCAGAGAACTCCAAGGGGAGAGACCCAAGAATTTAGACTGGAGGTGGGGAGAGAGCCGAAGACAAAAAAGGGGCCAATGAAATGACAGACTAAGCACGGAGGGCAAGACGCGAGTTAATCCCAGCCTGGGCAATGACCCCAGGACCGGGCCATAGAGTTATTAACAGCCTGGCGCAGGTGTCTGGTAGGGTTGCCAGGTGGTTTCAACAAAAATATTGGACACACTTGACGTTACATCACAATCGACATTCCATCTGACTGAGAACATCCCGGACAGGCTGGTTTCTCATTTCTAATTCTCATACTGGACTGTCCAGTTCAAAACCGGACACCTGGCAACCCTGGCATCTGGACTTGCTGAGAAGCTGCGATTATTGAGGCCAGGCAGGAAAGCAGAGGGCTGGGAGGGACCCAGGGGAGCCAAAACCTGCCTTGGAAAGTAGGCTATGGAAATGCCAGCTCGGCATGTAGAGGGGGGCCCCGGAGAATAAGCCCCCAACTCCCCCGGAGAATAAGCTGCAGGAGCCGTGCGGGTAGGGGGAGCCTGGCAACGCACAGAGAGGCAGAGGAGATTCTGGCCAGGAAAGAGGAGGGATCCCTGGGCCTCTGACAAGGGCTGCCCAGACCCCGGCCGAGATCGGGGCTCTGGGCTGGGCTCTGCCAGACCCCAAGTGAGACCAGGGCAGCTGCTGTCCTGGGCACTGCACAGAACTTGATCCAGATAAGGTCCAGGGCACTGGCAGTACCCAGGATTCCTGACTCTAACCACTGGACTCCACTCCCTTCTCAGGGGACCCTCCACTCTACCACTATATCCAACTTCCCCATTTCCACATACACGCTTGTCTTCCTGCTCCAACCACTAGACCCCACTGCCCTCCCAAACTGAGAATGGGGCCCCATTACACCCAGTGCTGTGCACATATACCGAGCAGGAGGCTGCCCCTTCCCCACATGGATCGTGCTCTAACCAAGAAGCCAGGGTTAATGTGTCCACTGGGGAACCCACAAACTCATGTCTTGAGTGAGCCCAGCCAGCTTGCTGATCTCACAGAAGATTCCCGACCATCTCATGCCAAGGCTGCTTCAGCTTGT